GGTCAACAACTAGGGCTTCCAGAGACACAGTCCTAACCTCTATGCATTTATGCGAAAATATATGGATGCTTGGCCGCATTTACATCATTGAAATATCATTTGACCATTACCATACATTTGTTCACGCTGAAAAATAACAATACAAATGTAAGAGAAACATGACCATCGCCATGGTGATGCACCTGGTGTTTTGGTGTTATAGCGGGTTTCACAGCTTGACTTCAACATGGATTTCACACGATGATGAATACACCTGGCACTAAAGTTATATCACATGAGAATATTTCCATGCTATTTGCCAGTCTGAACAATCTTCTCCTTAAAAAAGCAAAACTTGATGAATGCTTGAGAATATTTTGCTCAGAAACCCAATGTCCCAGGGAGTTAATACTGTAGTTGTGTGGGGCCATACCGAAACTGGCATTTGTTCATGGAAGTTTTAGTAAACATTTAAACTTATGCATTTTAGAAATAACGGCATCTTCTCAGAAGCATTACGAAAATTGGTAGAGAGCCTATCCGTACAATGGACTCAGGTGTAATCAAAATGTTTAAGAAGATCCTTCACATAGAAGAACACCCAAGAAAACATTTTGGTTGAAGTGAATCAAGTAATAGTATGTTCGTATCAAATATATTATATTGATGGTACATCTTTAATAACATTCCGTGCCCCCTCCAATCCGCCGGCCCATATCCTTCCCCTAATCCCAACCCAAACAACTCTTAGTCCAACACCCCCCTCCCCACAACTCCCAGTCCCAAACCACACACTCACACACCGCATCTCTCAGTCCCACACACCCCTCCTCCAGCCCAGCCACAAATCCCATTATGAAAGTAACGTTGTTATTATGAAAGTAGTGTTGTTTTGATGAAAGTAATGTTGATATTATGAAGGTAGTGTTGTTTTGATGAAAGTAAAAAATGTTGATATTATGAAGGTAGTGTTGTTATTATGAAAGTAGTGTTGTTATTATGAAGGTAGTGTTGTTATTATGAAAGTAGTGTTGTTATTATGAAAGTAGTGTTGTTACTTAGCAGGTAGTGTTGTTATTATGAAAGTAGTGTTGTTATTATGGAGGTTGTGTTGTTATTGTGAAAGTAGTGTTGTAATTATAAAAGTAGTGTTGAAGTGATGAAGGATTTAGCTGTCCGTTTACGTTGCGTGCTGGCTGAAACTAAAGGTACCCGTAGCCTCGGTCAGAACCATCTTCGATCATACCACAACATCGACATAAGACCAGCAACGTTTATTCATCAAAGTTGCTTGCTAAAGTTAATGTGTCATTCCTTGTGCGTCTAAATATAATTCTTATTTTGTCTGAAACATTGCCATTGCCGGTTGTCTGGGAAAATGAGTGGAGTGGTCATTGCTCGTACCAAAGGTTTCCTGGTCGATCATAGCATTCCAATTATTCGGCAATGGAGAAATATTACGTGGATATGGGACGGTTTGCTATCTCACCCGGTGTCTGCCGAAGTTAATAATGATTTATATCCGTGAAAAGCTCGAGATCGTGCAGTACATATACATAGCTACCAGGGAAGGAAGAGCATCCTGTTGTACTTCAGTGAGAGTCAGAGGGCGTCTGACGCTGGTGCTGTATAGGGAGGACAGTCTCGAGTGAGAGTCATAAGGCGTCTGACGCTGGTAGCTGTATCAGGAGGACAGTCTCGAGTGAGTCATAGGGAGTCTGACGCTGGTTGATGTATAGGGAGGACAGTCTCGAGTGAGAGTCAGAAGGCGTCTGACGCTGGTTGCTGTATAGGGAGGACAGTCTCGAGTGAGTCATAGGGAGTCTGACGCTGGTTGCTGTATAGGGAGGACAGTCTCGAGTGAGTCATAGGGAGTCTGACGCTGGTTGCTGTATAGGGAGGACAGTCTCGAGTGAGAGTCAGAGGGCGTCTGACGCTGGTGCTGTATAGGGAGGACAGTCTAGAGGGAGAGTCATAGGGCGTCTGACGTTGGTTGCTGTATAGGGAGGACAGTCACGAGTGAGAGTCATAGGGCGTCTGACGCTGGTTGCTGTATAGGGAGGACAGTCTCGAGTGAGAGTCATAGGGAGTCTGACGCTGGTTGCTGTATAGGGAGGACAGTCTCGAGTGAGAGTCATAGGGCGACTGACGCTGGTTGCTGTATAGGGAGGACAGTCTCGAGTGAGAGTCACGGGTAAAATTCTGTTGGTTAACTGAGGTGATCTATAGGCAGACGCCAGCCTTAATGTTCCGGCTTCGTAATGGTCATGTATAAAGCATATTTCCCACTTACAAGTTTAGATGATTTGATACAATTTTGAAAAAAGACGTCAGATAATATCAGTTTTGCGCTTGGACGGTATATGGATATTTGATGTAGTGGCATGCATATAGAAAATACTAAACTCGCTCGAGTGTAATATTATTTAGTACTTGCCATTTTTAACTCTTTTCTAAAATGTCACTGTCGTGTGTAAATAGGCGGGCATCTACGCGATCCACAGCATAATCCAATTGAGTTTTAAATGAATAATACGTCAAACACGTCAAAAGTTTACACGTATTATTTAATACCATACAGCGGCCTACCTTTGTCAACTTTGTGATGCAGGTGTCCGTTCCACAAAGCTATCATAGAGATAAATTAAGTTATCGTAACTCCAATACTTTAACATAGACTTTGACCCGTGAAGATCCGGGGTAGAATAGGTCTCCAGCAACCCATGCTTGCTGTTAAAGGCGACCATGCTTGTCGTAAGAGGCGACTAAGGAGATCGTGTGGTCAGGGTCGCTGATTTGGTTGATGCTTGTCATCGATCCCAATTGCATGGATCGATGTTCATGATGTCAGTCACTGGATTGTCTGGTCCAGACTCGATTAGTTACACACCGTCGTCATATAGCTCGAATATAGCTGAGTGCGGCGTTAAACAACAAACAGACAAACAAATAACATAGACTTTATGTTATACATCTTTTATCCTGCACGCAAAGTTTACAATCACGTCACAATACCCTATGACGTAATTTGTGGAATTGTGTTTAAGATCGCCCGGCAAAACAATAGCATGTGACGTCAGCATCCCTGCAGGGTTGCTTGGGTCATCGAGTCTTCACAAGCCCCTCTCAGTGATCTATCATCTCTACACGCAATGTCATTGAAAACCCCAGGGATGTTGGGAGTTTTCAATATTTGTTAGTGAAACTTGTTCCCTCAGTACATCAGCACGCGCTTTGGTATTACACAATGTGTAATACTGCTTATGTTTATTAAAAGGGTGATCTCATCACGGGAGAGTAGTAAATATTAGTTATACATATAAATAAAAGTTGTTGTTGCCGATGATGATGTCATAATTGCCTTGTAACACTGTTATAATAGTATTCTAATACAGTGACGATAATAAGCGCCCCGCTCTAATAAGCGCAAAGGCGATATTTGCTAATATATTGGCTAGTGAACAATCACAATTAGCACCCCTTCCATTTGATCAATGTACACAAGACTTATTTATTCGCGTATAATACACACTCCCCATAATTAATTCTGGAAAAATATATCTGTCGTACATAAACATTTCAGGCTGTCAGCATAAACCACGAAATTTATCTTTCAACTCTGTTTTTTTTTCACCAAAATAATATTCTAATAAGAGCCCCCTACTCCTAATTTTGAGAGCGCCCTGGGCTCTTATTACGTCGAATACGGTAAATGATATTTAATCAGAGAGATTACGAAATGCGTCAAACGGTTGTTATCGACTTCGTTTTGTCGTCACAATGACGTCAGAGGATCATTGTTTATAACGCCTGTCTCTCGTGATCGCGCGGTGTTACAATGCCCTGGTGTCGAACATTAAAGTACCCAACACAAGTTCACCCAACGCTATACACAATGACGTCCTTAGGGTGAGGTATACGGGCACTCGCTATACACAATGACGTTTGGCAGTGTCCAAGACGGGTTGGTTAGCTATACCGGCACTCGCTATACACAATAACGTTGTCCGGCATTGTCTGGAGGGTAGGACGCGTTGGTTGGTTATCAACCTTATTTCGCTATAAGAGTATCATTACATCGAAAATATACATATTATGAAGTGTGTAATGGCGTCTATTATTTTATACGTGTATTCATATTTGTTCCTTTACGGTAATCGGGGATATTGACATAATCCTCGGGAATGTATTTCAGTTATATCAGCTTATATGAGCGTGTCAGCTTCTGTATTAATAAATACAAACCGAAGTGATGCTGGTCCAAGGCGTTTACCACTTTGGGGAAACCCGCGAGCCCGGGCATGGTGCTGATAACCAAAACTCAAACTAAGTGCAAATGATACGATTATCAAGCCCGAGGAACACAAACAATGTATCCGCGAAAACAAGTATAACCTGTAATATTTTATATGTGAAGTAAATTGAATAGTCATATTTACAAATATGTGACCTGTCGAAAATATGAGAACTCCTCTTTATCATTCTAAAAGATGATCATTGAAAACACAGTATCTTCTAAAGTTATATACAGGTATACGTTCTCTATGTAACATGCACTTGATTTCACATGCTAAAGTTATTGCGCGTTTTTGCAAGGCTAACACTCTGTACAGCGTGAATTCGTGTGTCAGTGATGAATTAATAACAATCGATATGTATTATCTCATTTTGTTTAAATGGTTGGTTATCCACTATCATAACTCGCAATAAAGTCGATTAAACAACGGTCTGTCATTAAGCGTTTGTATAGCTTACGCAGTTATCGTGACAGTACAGTTGTCGACACCACTTATTAATCACAGGAAATATCGCTGCCATGTTTAACTATGTATATATTCTGTAATAAAAGACATTCACAGACTACGTAGTTCAACCGTAATATTGCTTATAGCAAACAGAATTCACTGGCGCTCGCATCTGAAGCACGGAAGTTGCTGTTTTAAAATCATTAGATCGGAATCTCACTGAGTATAATCCCTATTTTCATGGTATTTACATCTTGTTATTTCCTCTATTTGCAGAGCCACCGCCCAGTATGGAGTCCTAACGGTTTTACTCAGAGTTAACGCTGAAGAAACGTTGCTATGCAACTGCTCATCAGCACCGTGGCTCTATAAGAATAGACCGTACGTGCGCCAATCGGGTGAGGATTGAGTGTGACGTCACCGACTTGTGTGTACAATGCCTCCACCGCTCAAAGCGTCCGTGGCCACGACTACTCCAGCCAATGCTGGCAAAGGCACGACATCGTCAGGCCGCGGAATCACCGGCGTTCAGTCGGACCGGACAGCTCACGCGGGAGGAAATACCGCATCTAAAACGCTGAACTCTTCAAGCCTGAAAGGAAGTGGGAGCCGGCCCACGGGGGTGCGAGTAAGTGCCACTACCGGCGGCGGCCCCTCCCCCAAAATTCCAGCCAAAAACATGGGGAACGGTGCCAGCGCCACACAGGTGGTCATCGATGGGGAAACCCTGGACTTGGTCAAAATCAAGTTGCTCATCCCGTCCATGAGATCGGATCTCAAAGACAAGGACGTGAAACTGGCTGTATATGAGAAGGAAATTAAGGAGAAGAATAGGGCGATAAAAGAGAAGAACTCTGAGATTCAGAAATTAAAAGAAGAAGTGCACAAACTGAAATCTGTGTTACAGTTGAAGGTGGTCAATGAGGATGGCCGTCCGGATATATTGGCGACAATTCAGGAGGGACCTGCCGCCTCGGAAACCAGGTCCAAAAAGCAAGGCGTGTCTGGGGAGAGCCCTATGGCATCTCAGGGAATTATTGAACTCAAGCACTTCGAGAAAGACTTTAGGTGAGTTTCTGTATTTTCTGTCGCGAAAACACAGCCTTAATTACAAGTTTCATCACAATCTGTCAACACCCAATTAAGAGTAACAAATTTTGCCTGCAACACCATTTTCCCGCCTCTACCTGAAGGCAGAACGGTGTACATCGAACTGTAGCTTCTTACATGAGCACCAAGCATACTAGCTGGCTGTTTCACTTACGTTCTAGAAGTTTTGTTTAGAAGTACTTATGCGGTTTGATGTATATATGATGGTTCCATATAACGAGTTTCAAAACATGTTTCCACTGGTAAGAACTTCCAACAGTAAGCTCTTTGGTATATATACATAGGTGATATGATAAAGGATATCGTCATTATGGTTCCATATAGTTATCGAAATGAAAGTTTCGCAGAACAAGTTTTGAAACCTGGTGGTGCCCTTACAGTTTTTGCTCTTTAAATGGCCATGCAACAACCTTCTTACCTCAACAAAAGTGTGTAGGACGCTTCAAGTTCATGTCCATGTTAAAAAATGATTCTACCCCAGATTTAAAGGTTCTGTAATTTCTATAATATGTGATTTTAATTGAAAATATATGTATTTCAAACCCTAAGTTGCTTTTAGTTTCCACTCAGTTATAGCAATGTTTTTAGACACTGAAATAAGAACCCCTATGGTACAGTTGTGAAGTACACTGAAGATACATTATCCTGCTCTTGAAAATAACCTCCCACATCAGCTATGTTTCATCATCTCCTTCATCTTTGCATTATAGCCTGTAGTTATTCATAAAACAAGATATAAAATTGGCCCTTCCTAAATAACATCCTGTGTCAGAAATAATGTTTGTGATGATCACTCTTTGTGTGTATCCAACTCAATGAGGGTCTTGTGATGCCCAGCATCTTGACTGAAGAACAGTCAGAATATTAAGACAAGGTTGTGTTATCATGATAATAAGGAAATTATTAAAAACAGTCACGTGCACAGGGAACAATCACAGAAGCATTTTCCCATTAAAGGCCATTTTGATCCCTCTTCTGGTTTATTCCAGAATCATTGAGCAATGCAGGGCAATTTCAAAGAAAATATTACCTATGAAGGTCAGGATTAGAGGGTTAGGTCTTCAGCAACCCATGCTTGCCATAATAGGCGACTGTGCGTGTTGTAAGAGTCGGCTAACGGGGTCAGATGGTCAGGCTAGCTGACTTGGTTGATGCATGTCATTGTGTCCCAATTCCGTAGATCGCTGCTCATGATGTCAATCACTTGACTCCCTGGTCCAGACTCGATTTTTTCCAGACTGCCACCATATAGCTGGAATATTGTGGAGTGTGGCATTAAACAAGAAACAAACAAACAAATCATAGAAAATATAAATTTAAGTAATTGTTTATAAACAATGCATAATTTATTGTGTCTAATGTTCAATGGATCAGTGTGGAAGTCAGAAGATACTTAGCGAGTGCTTGACAGTGATGTAGTCTACTACCTTTATAAGGTGAAGAAACTATGTTTCATCTGTAATATTCCATTTCCTTTGGAATGGAGAAAGCACTCAAGGGTGTTTTCAAAATCATTTTGAAATATTTCCCAAGATTGGATGATTGTGTAGGGTAATCCCAACAGGTCATGGCAATTTCTGGTTACGGATGCCTAGGACTTCAATCCTATTATGCAGATACTGAGGCAGATGAGGAAGAATTACTTTGGACAACCCAGCCATAGGGGAGGCACTATCAAGATGGTTGATGTTGCCCTTGGCAAGAAGGCATTAACCGCAAATACACGCAAAGTTAATTGAAAAATTTACAATTCGCAAATATAACTTGAAATATCTTTGACTGATACAAATTGGTTTCAAGAATATTTTAACTTCATATACACAGGAATTAATTGAAACCTTTGCCTTTCAACACGTTAATACCACTTGAAATATCAGCTACAAAAACTGGTCATAGCAGGTATCGTTTCCATGTGCACTACCTTATTCAATCTCATTAGAATCATATCATTTACTTTGACTTCATACCTGTCTGTGGCAAGATCTGGCTAAGTCTCCACAGAAGGTCATATTTGATGAACTTCAGCATCATCATGGATGCTTCCTAATCCTCAAGTACCTACCAGCAAAGCAGAAGAAGCATCAAGTCTGATTTCTGTATCTTTATAACAAACATATACAGGCTTTTAAGAATGGAAAATAATGAAGGCTATGCTCTCTATGCTGTTGATATTTCATACAATGAGTGTTTCTGAAAGCCATGCCATCTTCAACTAAGAAGGTTTTCTATTGAGGGAATATCAATTATTTGTGTTCTTTGTGGGTTTCCTTTTGTTTTGATCAAATTTCTTTTTTGAGGTGGTAAAGCCAATTATGTTTGAGAAAGCTGATGTCTGTTTGGCTCAAGAACCCACCCAGCCTTCATTTTGATTGGGTGACTTCGTATACATTTGGTTGAAACACACACTTCCCACTTACAATATATATGTCCAAAATGCTACAAAGCAAGAATGACTAGATTGCACTGCTTTACCCTGCGACATGGCTTTCTATTGGTGATATGGTTTTTGTAACCATAATTAGATGTATTACAAAACAACATTGCAGATGCAAGTTGTGTGGTTGTTTACGCAATGGACCTCTTATCTCAATGAGATTGAAAGCAATTGGATCCTGTGGCCCATACACATCAGACATGGAGAAAAGAGCAGTGTAGCACTGAAGGATACTGACTCGGATGTAGCTTCAGTGACAGATGTGTGCTTGTGTTTGCTGAGTACTGTGTAATTCCATGGAGTTCAATAATCCTCAGTTTTGAGGTGTCTCCAGAGGCAGTGCACTTCTTCTTTCCCCTTTTCTATTCTGCCCACAACATCTGGGCGTCTGTGGTGTGAGTAGTGCAGTGTGATGCTGCATGACAAGTCCATGGACTGTGTGGAGGCTGGACCTCACATTAAATGGGTGATGCCGATCACCCCCCACAACATCTTTAGACAGCTACAGATGTGTTGTCACTTTGACCTTAACCTGCTCTGCCATTTAGTGCTTTTATGTCAGCATATTTATCTGATCATGGTCAGTTAGGTGTTTTGTTCACACACACAACAAAAAGAAAGTATAAAAATATACAAAGTACACTGAGAATGGCTGTCACTTGCCAGTGGAGTTGTCTAATGTATCTAATCATCTAATCATGGCTGTCACTTGTCAGTGATGCTGTCTAACATATCTAATCATGGCCAATACAGGACAGTTATACATTTTGTAGCCAGAGGATTGAAAGAACCAGTCAATTATGGGTTTTATATCTGTGGATCACCAATATTGGTCATTTATGGGTTTAATAGCATAACTGGGGATTGTCTACAATGGACTCTCACGTTCCTATTGATTATAAGTGGATTCTATCTTCAGCGCCAGGACTATTAGGCCATCTATATTTTTTTTATGTGTTTCTCATCTCCAACCTCCACCAGCTGCAGCAAGAGAGCGGGTAGGTGAAATTTCAAATATAAATAAGAAAACTAGAAACAACTGTTTTTTACTAATTGTGTAACTTATTTTATGAATTTTTAAAGTTTAAAACACTTTATAATGGTCCTTAAATTAATTTATGAAGTAGATTGAATAAATTCAATTTGGCAGTGAATTTTTAATAAATATACCTGAAGAAAGAACCGGTTGTTTGTACAGATTCACTCAGATTATGACCCTTGATACGTCAGCACTGTCTTCATGGGTTTCATTAACGTTGTAAACATATACAATCTGCATCACTTATACCTGCCTCCCACATTAAGCTGATGTGTCATGATGTACCTGAGATACATCTACTGTCAGAGGTCAAGGATTTTGAGAACACTCATGAACGTTATTTTGTTGGTCGTTCAGTCACTATCTAGACTACGTTTGTGTGGGTTCTGGGTTAGGAAAGGTCCCCAGCAACCTATGCTGGTCATAAGAGAAGACCAAATGGATCGGTGATCAGGCTCAATGCTTTGGTTGATTGTGTGTCATCGTCATGATCATACCCTGGTGGTGTTGTCCAGAGTCATTTATTTACAGGCTTCCGTCATATAAGCTGCAATAGCTGAGTACTGCATTATGGAGAAAAAACAAATGTAAGTGAGTCCCATGGCAATTCCTGCACTGATGACAGACAGACTATCAATGACTTCAAATCAGTTTTATTGTATAAAGCCACACACCGGATGCAATGAACGCAAACGCTATGATGATGAATTGGTTTTCAGAATTGATCGATACTGAGTGAAATTTGAGAAGATTCGAGAATCTAAGTTCTAAAAGCTTCATGACTTCAAAGTACTATTGTTTATAACACAGCTATTGCAGGGTATTTAGGTATTGACAGTGAAGGTTAGGTGTACCTGTTATGTTAGTCACAGCAAACTGTTAACTTGACAGTGTGATATTATTACAGAAAATGTAACATGAGAAATTAGCATACAAGGAGCATTAGCTATCATCATTCATTCTTCTTATGATCTGAATTATCATTGTATTGATGAGACATTCTGAAGAAATATGATTATTTCCGCATATCAATAACATTTCGTTCTTTGATAACAGATCTGAGTGAAATAACCTCCACCAGTCCTCTTTGCATTTGACAGCTTTAATATAAGCATTCCCATTAAAGCTGAAACATTTTATGCATGTTCTTTACTTGTTTCTAGTGGCTGCAATTTGTTTCAGTTTATTGGAAATAAAACCAGAAGTATATTTTTTCCATAATGAAATGAATAGGAATTCAATCAGAAAGTTTCCACATTTTCAATACTAATTACTTTTAGTGCCGAGGAATCCAACAATCGAACCACCATGAACCCCCTGGATGCCACAGGAACATATATGTCCTTCCTCTACAACCCTCACTTTGAAGTCGAATAAAATGAAAAATACACCACCTACAAATACACTTCACAGTTTTGAATAAGGTGGGAATTCCCTGTTCTATGATATCATCCACTGGCATTTTAGGCCACGCAAAAGTACTGA